ATGACAGTTAAAGAGATCATTGGTGTAATGCTGTTGGCTCTGCCAAGTGGCATTAGATAGGGAACAATAAGGTACCATCAGTTGAGAGGTAAATCGGTCACAGTTTACGGAACTCCTAGAAAACGCTGGAGGAACCCTAGGGTTCCACACAACCCTGGTTGACAAAGGATAGTAGCAGCACGCAGTCACTAGGATCTCACACACTGGTCTGTACTCACAAATGTCTCTAGATCAGGGGTGGGCAAACTTTTTGACTTGAGGGCCGCAATGGGTTCATATATTGGACCCGGGGGCTGGACCAAGAGTAGATGAATGATGTGTATGTGTCATCCATAGTAAGTATAGTAATATTCCCCCATAGTAAGCATAGTAATTAATCCCCCATATAGTAATTCATCCCCCATAGTAATTCATCCCCCATATAGTAATTCATCCCCCATAGTAATTCATCGCCCATATAGTAATTCATCCCCCATAGTAATTCATCCCCCATATAGTAATTCATCCCCCAAAGTAATTCATCCCCCATATAGTAATTCATCCCCCATATAGTAATTCATCCCCCATAGTAATTCATCCCCCATATAGTAATTCATCCCCCCTATAGTAATTCATCCCCCCTATAGTAATGCATTCCCCATTTTAATTCATCCCCCATATTAATTCATCCCTCATATAGTATTTCATCCCCCACAGTACTATTCCCCCCCAAGTAGTAAGCCAAGTCCCCCCGTGTCAATTCACTTACCTTTGCTCCACGCGTTCCTCTCGCCGTGTTCCCGCGCCGTTCCGGTCTTCAGGGCGGACTGTGAGAGGAGCCTACATCCCCTCCCCTCACGTTTGTCATGCTGCCCCGCCTACACACATCCTGACAGCCACATCTGCGGGCCGGATTAAAAAGTCCGCCGGGCCGTATACGGCCCGCGGGCCGTAGTTTGCCCATTGCTGCTCTAGATCTTGAATGCCACTTTCCAATATCAGCCAGACATGTCTCCTGTGAGCTCTATAGACCAGATCCTCAGATAAATTCCCCTGATCAGCTCCAGCAATGTTAAGTAGAATAGTCCCCCCGGACTGACAACTCATGGGGCCCCCCGGCAATAGGGGATCATGGGGCCCCTGTGTCCTTGCCCAAACTCAAAAAAGCCTATGAAAAAGGTACCAGAGGCATCTCATGGGGCCCCCTACTGACCCTGACAGTGCCCGAGTTTCCAAATGGTCAGTCCGCCCCTGCCCCCCGGTCAACACAGTTTGGAGCTCGATGAGAAATGAAAAAAGCATAGCTTGACTGCCCAGAAAGGCAGCAGCCCTCCAGGCAGTGAACTCCTCCTGGACAAGAGCCCCTTTGCTCTAGGCCTCACACTATTTATGCACCCTCCCAGCCACTTACTGGGCACCATCCCCCAGGGATTGGCTGGGACCACATATATATTCAGGCTATAGGTTTGACCCTGCAAGCCCACTACATTCCAGAACTCTTCAGGAGGCAGGGGGAAGCAGTCAAACCTATAACCAATGAAACTGAGCAGTCCAAAGCAGTCACAAGCTGCTCCACTGATTACAGAGGAGTTAAAAAACTAAATTTACATAAAATAGCTAGCACCTAATTAGGAAGGTATATGGGCACTGCCCGAGGGCCCAGGGTCAGTAGGGGGCCCCATGAGCCCCTGGTACCTTTCATAGGCTTTTTTGGGTGTGGTATGAGTGTGGGTGAGAACACAGGGGCCCCATGATCCCCTATTGCCCGGGGGCCCTATGAGTTGTCAGTCCACCCCTGTGTATGGGGAAGCATGTGACTCATTCCCAGAAGACAACTCTGGTGCTTAGTGATAGGCTGCTGAAGCTCCCAGTTCAGTCACATAGGGACAGGGAGTCCTCTCCCCAGAGTAAGCTCCTGGTAACAACACAGGATTTCTTTTCTTTCTTTCTATGGTTGACCAGAAAGTGGAATCTAACCTGCTGTGAGGAAGGCATGTGTGGACAAAGCACAGCTTCATTTTATTCAACACTGTGCCTGGCTGGCAGCCCCTTTAAGCCGCTCAGCTGAGCATCGCTCTACTTTCCTACTAGTATTCGGCAGATAAGTGAGAGTGAAGGAAAAAGAGGACACTGGTTGTTTCGTGACGGTGGATGGAACTAAAGCCTGTTCCTAGCAAAGGGGAAGAGAAGGACTTGATTGACTGGCAGGACTATAGCCCTGCCTGTGGGACCAGGAGAAAGCAACTGAGCCAGCACGTAGACCGGGAAAGTGATGAGCGGTCTAGGAGATGGGGAGATGACAACAGTGGCATGAGACTGTTATTTGTTGGTGGAACCAGAGAGGGTATATAGAGACTGAGATTCACTGATGAGGTGGGGGTCCCTTTGGCCTTTGTATGTTTAAATGGTCTTCTGTCACCGAAGCCTCTGCAGTGCTGGGGCCTTGGGTTCATTTTTTTGATTTCTCTGTGGCTAGGTATGTTCTTCCTGTGTTTGGATTTCCTTCGGGCGCACCTGTTTCCTCAAAAATTCCTAAAAATCGCTGTCACGTTAATTGGCTGATGAAAAATATTGGCCCTAATTTCTTTATGGAAGAGGCTTTAGACTGTTTCCTGCCTGGGAACTAAATATATCAATCTATAGAACAAACAATAGTGAACTCTGGCTCAGCTGTAAACTCTACATGGCCTTTTTCCATTCAAAATACACTCGTGTTGCGGGTCAGGGCACAGGTACGGGGCCTCATCAGAGAAACACATTTGTCCATCATCTTCACAAGGTTGTATAGAAGCCAGCAGACCTACGCCGGTCACACGGGGACAATGTGTATATAAAGAAGGGGCACGGCCCCAAGAAAGATTACGATATTCCATACCAACGGATTTCAAGGATTAATATTTAACAAAGTGAATTAACTAAATGACAAAAATAGCCATGGATTAAATCTGTTGGTTCTATTTGTATCATAAGAAAACTTGCATGGAGGTTTGGCTTGGAATGTTATGTTACTCCGTGCCCTGTCATCACATCGCCGGCTCATGAAAGCTCTGCTTCCTTTTGTTTCTATTTGGTCTTGTGAACCTGTTATGCTTTTCCTCTTGGTAGACTTCCGGTCTCATTGTTAGTGAATAATTCCATTAGCACCAGCAGAGGTAACTGGAGCATGCACTGTTTAGCAGAGATGGGAGGATTGTAAACTACTACACAGCTACTGTAGTATCATTCATTCACATACTGAACACACACAGCGACAACACAACAAATCAGTGGGTTGTGTCAATACTTACAGTGGGAAAATATATTGGGTATAGAAGCTAAATAAGGCGTTTTTTTTTTTTTTTTTTAAAAAAAAAAAACTTTTTAATATATACTGTATGTATAAAGGCAGTGCTGGATTTATAAGCGGGCAAAAGGGGCAACTGCCCTGGGCCCCCTAACAGAAGGGCTCCCCTCTGTACAAAAATAATATACAAATTATAACAAATGATATAAAATAATACAAAAATAAACAATAATAAAAATATATCATAATAAAAAAAAAACACTTTATTTTATTAAACGTATCTTGGGAAGCATCATTTTTCTGGCCATCATCTGTAAATGTTTTTACTTCTGACTGGCATATTGTATCGTTTTTAAAAATGAATTTTGTCAGCTCAAGCGAACTACATGTGTGTGTGTGTATGTGTGCATGCATGACTTGTGTGTATGTGTGCATGCACTTTTAAAATGTGTGACTGTCAATGAGAATGTAAACCAACTCTGTGTATGAGGGGCCCCCAGAACCTAAAGTGCCCCAGGCCCCCCAAGGTCTAAATATGGCCTTATATAGATGTATATAGGCTGCAATGAAAGAGTTAGTACAAATCTCAAACAATACAAAGATTATAAATGTAAGTGTTGTGCTGCTCAAATAAAACCATAAAACATCCACTTCCACCACAAACAATATATAAAGTGAAATCCAAAATGTATGCGGAGGAAAATAAAATAAATATCTATAAAGCCTCTTCAAAGTGTGTCAATAGTGATCCAATATGGTCTCTTCCTCTCCAATGTATAGTAGATGTGGTGAAGATGACTTTCTGAAGTTCAAACGGAGCATCAGAATGGCGAAGAAAGGGAATTTAAGTGACTTTGAACCTGGGAATGGTTGTTGGTGCCAGACGGGCTGGTCTGAGTATTTTGCAAACTGCTGATCTACTGGGATTTTCACACACAGCCATCTCTAAGGTTTACAAACAATGGTGCAAAAAAGAGATAATATCCAGTGAGTGGCAGTTGTGTGGAGGAAAATGCCTTGTTGATGTCAGAGGTCAGAGGAGAATGTGCAGACTGGTTGGTGTGACATTCAGATGGTAGGGTCAAAATTTGGCGTAAACAACGTGAAAGCATGGATCCATCCTGCCTTGTATCAACGGTTCAGGCTGGTGGTGGTGGTGTCATGGTGTGGTGGATCCATCCTGCCTTGTATCAACGGTTCAGGCTGGTGGTGGTGGTGTCATGGTGTGGTGGATCCATCCTGCCTTGTATCATTGGTTCAGGCTAGTGGTGGTGGTGTCATGGTGTGGTGGATCCATCCTGCCTTGTATCATTGATTCAGGCTGGTGGTGGTGGTGTCATGGTGTGGTGGATCCATCCTGCCTTGTATCAACAGTTCAGGCTGGTGGTGGTGTCATGGTGTGGGGGAGATTTTCTTGGCACTAGCAAGGTGTACCTAATAAAGTAGTCAGTGAATGTAGATTACAGGTCCTTTAAATAGTTGATGTGTATGGATTATGTTTGTAGAGTAAGAAATAAAATTTAGTGTCACTTTAAGAGTCTGTGTGTACTTCCATTGGATTCTTCTGTGACTTATTGGAGAGTTATATCTCAATATTTCACATGTTCCTGAAGATGACTGTGAAGTGTTGGTGGGTGCTGCAGTGATCACCGGCTGGAAACCATAGACATTCAATGCAAAGAAATATCACCAGCAGTTTACTCAAATGGGTCCAAATCTTTATTTAGTGGTCACATGGTACATACAAAGGCAACGTTTCAGAGCCACGCAGGGCCCCTTCGTTAGGCAGATAAGAATAAATAAAGCTTTGGACCCCTTTGAGGTGTGCTGGTGACATTTCTTCACATTAATGCAGAGTTAACCCTTTCAGGACCGTAAGGTTTTGAAACGCCAAAATAATAAATTTTTTTGTTTTTAAAGTTTGTACACTTCAGTTGCTGTAACTAAGCCATTTCATGAAATAATTGGCAAAAAGCTAGATCCATTTGTTGTTTGTTGATAAAAACTAATATTTTGACTCAAACCAAAAAAAAAAAAAGAGTTTTAAGTCCTTAACCAGATGATACACGCAATTACAAACATGGGACAAATACGTCCCTTGGTCCTCAAAGGGTTAAGCTGCCTGTGGATAGTGCCAAGTCAACAGGTGACCAGGGGCGGACTGACCATTCGAGCACTCAGGCACTGCCTGAGGGCCCGGGGTCAGAAGGGGGCCCCATAAAATGCCCCTGGTACCTTTTATAGGTATTTGGGTGTGTTTTGAGTGTGGGCAAGGACACAGGGGCCCCATGAGTTGTCAGTCCGCCCCCGCAGGTGACCATACTGTCTGGACAGACTAGGTCCAAGGAGGTATGTCAATGCATAAAATGGCATTTGAAACAGAACCACGTGAGCCTGGTGGTGTTGGCGCATGTCAAGAGGGTGTGTCCATGACAGCCTGAACTCACAATAGCTGGGTTGAGTGATGCTGGCAGTCAGAGGGCAGGCGCAGAAGACAAAGTAAGTATTGCAGTGAAAGGTTTTTTTTTTCCATTTCCAATGTGCCTCGGCATTTACTTTTTGTCTTTAAACTTGAGTTCCACTTTAAGTCCCACCATTACAGTTGTGACCAAAATTATTCAACCCCCAATGCTGTAAAGGGGTTTAGGGACTATAGTGTACATTTGGAATTGTATTCAGAATCAAATCCTACAAGGACTGTTTGTAACTACCCAAATGCAACTAAAATGACATCAATTGTTTATGTAATACAGTAGTAAATGGTTCTTATGTGGTTTCTTCATTGCCACAATTATTCAACCCCTTAAAGACTACCACTCTGAAGAACAGAGGTTCATACAGGTGCTTTCCATCAGGTATTGAAAACACCTGTGGATGTCACCGAGCAGCAATCAAGCATAATAAGCACCAATTAGGCAGCTTTAAGATACTCAGCTCCTTCTAGACATTTACTGGTGTGGGTTACAAACATGGTGAAGGCAAGAGAATGGTCCAGGAAGACAAGAGAAGAGGTGATTTCTCTTCACAGGAAGGGCAATGGCTATAAGAAGATTGCAAAGAGATGTTAAACATACCAAGAGACACCTTAGGAAGCATCATTCGCAAATTCAAGGCAAAGGGCACTGTTGAAACGCTACCTGAGAAAGAAGATGCTGACTTCGACTGCTGTGCGCTACCTGAAGCGTAGAGTGGAGAGAAGTCCCCGTGTGACTGCTGAGGAACTGAGAAAAGATTTGTCAGATGTGGGTACAGAAGTTTCAGCCCAGACAATAAGACGCACACTGCGTAATGAAGGCCTCCGTGCCAGAACTCCCAGGCGTAAAAGAATAAGAAGAGTCGACTGCAGTATGCCAAAAGCCATGTGGACAAACCACAAAAGTTGTGGGATAGTGTTCTGTGGACTGATGAAACAAAATTAGAACTGTTTGGGCCCATGGATCAACGCTATGTTTGAGGAGGAAGAACAAGGCCTATGATGAAAAGAACACCTTGCCTACTGTGAAGCATGGTTCAATCATGCTTTGGGGCTGTTTTGCTTCTGCATACAGGGAAGCTTCAGCGTGTGCAAGGTACCATGAATTCTCTTCAGTCCAGGAGATATTGGATGGAAACGTGATGCAGTCCGTCCACACCTGAGGCTTGGGAGACGTTGGACCTTTCAACAGGACAATGATCCCAAGCATACCTCCAAGTCCACTAGAGCATGGTTGCAGAGGAAAGGCTGGAACATTTTGGAGTGGCCATCGCAGTCACCAGACTTAAATCCGATTGAGAACTGTGGGACTTAAAGAAAGCAGTTGCAGTGCGCAAGCCTGTGTGACTGAACTGGAGGCCTTTGCCCATGAAGAATGGGCGAAGATACCCGTAGATCGCTGCAAGACACTTGTGTCAAGCTATGCTTCACGTTTAAAAGCTGTTTAACTGTAAAAGGATGCTGTACTAAGTACTAAGATTGAATGTCACTTGGGGGTTGAATAAAACTGATAATGCTGTGAGCACAAGAAAAGACATTTGTGGTTATTTCATTATAACTGTTATGTTATATTTGTCTGACCTACAAGTGCCTCTTTAATGTAAATGTAAGCAAGATGACTGAATGATCAAAAGCAATGTCAAACTGGCCAAAACACTCAATTTCAGTGGGGGTTGAATAATTTTGGTCACAACTGTATATTCCAATGCAATCTTGCAGAGAAGATTATAGATCTGTTTCAGCATAATGTTCCTCTAGAATGCTAAATCTCTTGGACATCTAAAATAGACTAGGAATGTTCAGTGCTGCTTACACTGCTAATTAATCATTCATAAGCAGCAATTTTTTTTTTTGTGAAGACTGGTGGTCAAAGAGAGCCAAGAATAACCGAGACTGGAGGAGTTGTGTTCAGCTCTGAGAAGAGACGGAACGTGGTTACCTGGAGAGCTGATGAAAAGTAACAGAATCAAAACACTTGTCCTAATGAAAGGAACACTGAAGATCTAGTATCAGCATTTCAATGCCAAATGGAAGTCAGTGTTTTGTGTGGAGAAAAATCTACCTTAGAGCAGTGATGAGAGATCCGGGCCTTTTATTGGTAAGGTAGCACATGGCCTTATGGTGGTCATGTGGTATGATGACATAGGTACTCGTATTTTAAACTTGGAATAACACCTATTGTCCAAGGGGGTCTCCAAGCTTTTCAGCACGAAGGTCACATTGTATATCGTAAAAAATGTGCCCACCTACAAATTTTTTCTTCTTAAAGGATAACTCCGCTTTCATGGGAAAACAATATAGTGTATACAATTGCGACACAAGTCATATTGTAATTGAATGTTATTAAAAATAAAAAAAAACTTTCCTTTTCAATCTGCAGCTCTGTAATTTTCTGTAAAATACAATGACATATGGGTACCTGGAGGCATTCTGTACACAGATGGCGTACAGAACGCCCCCCAGAAATGTCATTTCCTGCTTGTGTGATTGGCTCACTGATTTTTCCTAGAAGTCTGTACAAGTTAGATTTGGGGCACCCCCTGCAACAAAAATGTCCTTTTTGCTGAGATATTCGCAAAGGGAAATCATGTCTAAAGGGATGCAGACCCTGCCACTTTCCCCATTAGAGCCCTGCAGGTGTAGCAGTCTATTGATATTATAAAACCACTCTCATACAGATTCATTTTGCACATGGACACAGACAAACAGCTATTTCTTCAGAATAACATAAGGTTGGAACCTGCAACAAAATTTGTTAAAATCTTTGCAATATACAGTACATAGATCACCCAGACGGGAATATTTTTTTCTCAACAAAAGTGGAGTTACTCTTTAATTTTATTTATACTCTCTTCTTGGGTACAGCTGTTGCTTATGTGGTTTCAGTTGATTTATGGCGGCTCATGATGCAAAATGCGGCTCACAAAAACCTGAAGATAGCACGTCACTCCCACCTCTCCGATTAAGCCCTATGGGAGGATAAAACGCGCCAGTAGGGTGTAGTGTGGGAGGAGACAGGCTGAAGCCACTTCTCTACTGTTGTACTGGACTATCCTTGGTCTGCGGCACCAGATATTCTATTGTGGAAGCTTAGAGCAGCGCTCAGCAAGCGTTCATTCAGGGCCCCTGCAGGTTTAGGTCACAATGTGCTAGTATGCACCACATTCTAGCACATTATGACAGACTGCAAATGGAGCCCTCCAGTTCTGCGCTGTCATGGTTCCCCCTGGTTCCTGCGCTTCCAGCTTCACCTGGTCTTTCTTCCAGGTTCCATATCTTCTGCTGACGGAATGGCAGGGCTACCTGCTGCTGGCTGCCCTGCTGTTTCATTTGGGACTTTTTTTGTTCTTGAAGTAAAGTAAACATCTGCCTATACTCTTTGTCTATAGTACATTTTGCCCTTTTTTGCTGATCTAGAGATTGATCAGCATGGAGCTCTGGTGAGTTACCCAACTTTACTTTGGTGGTGGATTTTGGCACAATTTCTTTGAGAGCACCTGAATTTGAAAAGGATTTGTTTGGACATTTGAATAAATTCAGAATTGGACAATTTTTATATTCACAAATTTAATTATTTAAATTACTTATGCACTAATAGTTTTGCACATAATTTTGATTTTTTTTTTATATTAATTGAGAATAGATATATATATCTTTTGCACTAATGTTTCTACACTAAATTAGGAATAGTTTGTGGTTTTAGCGCATTCCTTTATTTAAGTTATAGCACTAAGAAATTTATTTGGTTTCTTTTAGGTGGAATTGCTGCTTTAAAGTATTAAGGGTGTGGTGCTTTTATTACACTTGTGATTTTGCCCTTTTACCTTTGAATAAAACTGTCCTGCTACTGACTAATTTTACTATTGCTATATCCTCTGCGGTATCTTAATTCTTGTAGTGAAGTCCCAGCATGTGCTCTTTGTCGGTAGTAACTTTAGGCCTAGCCTTGCTATTTAAAATGTCCTGCTATTGGTCAATTTCACTCTACTGTGTGATCAGTGGACTCTTAATTCCATATAGTAAAGCACTTGCCTGTACTCTTTTTCTCTAGTACATGATAGTCAACTCTTCCTAAGTGCCCGGTCATTTGCGAATTGAAATCGCACCTAATGAATGTAAATGTCAGTGTCTTAACATGTGCGACTTGCTGTAGCGTGATTTCTAAAGTAGTTCTTGCATTACTTTTCTGCAGTTTATTTGAATTTCACATGCATAGAATATAATGGATATTGCAAAGCAAATCACAAGAAATCATTGAAAATCTTCACAAGTCGCAATAAAGTCTTCAGAAATCGCACCTACAATCACGCTGAAATCACACACAATTCGGTGACAATTAAAAAAGCCCTGCTGCTGGCCAATTTTACATTGCAGTATCACCTGTAGTCTCCTACTTCTTAATGATAGTTTGACAAAAATCAGAGAGGACAATATTGCATCAGCAAGAAAAGGGACAATGACCTTATAGCAATATAAACCTAACAGAAGTTCTAACTCTTTCTGTTTCTATCAAAAACTAAAAAAAATATTTGGGGGGTTTATTTTGTTGGCTATTAGTGCATTGTACCACTAAACGTGTACAGAAATCACAGACATTACTATCATTGTGACGTGCTATAGAAAACAACTACGTCATGCATTTTGTTTTTAACTATTAGCCGCCCGGCCTATAGCCGTTTGGCGGCCGCAAAAATGCTTCAGCTTTCCGGGTGCACGCCATTTGGCGATGACAGATCTGAGTACCGGCCCCCGTTGCCGGTACCATGTGACCTGCTGTGACCAATCACAGCAGGTCACATGACAGTTATATACAATGGATGGCTTCATTCATGCCATCCATTGTATACTAGTGCCTAGCTGTGAATGGTCACAGCAGGTCACATGCACATGTCATGTGATTAGCTGTGGCCAAATCACAGCTAAGCACAAAAAAAAAAAACCTGAATGAATCGATTTCATTCAGGTAAATGCTTGCTTATAGCAAAGTAATTCTTTGCTATAAGCAAATTGCGTAAAAAAAAAAAATACTGATCACTTCCCCAAAGTAGTACAATGTTACTATGGTAACCTTGTACTACTTTGCTCATAGTAAAATATGAAAAAAAAAATCTTAAAAAAAATTTTAAAAAATGTAATAAAAAATTAAAAATAATAATAAAAAATATATATATATTTTTTTTTCATACTGTCACCAGTCAGTGTCCCTGTTCACCGCCATGCCAGTTATATGATGATGCTGTACTGCACTGGTGACAGTATGTAAAAAAAAAAATAGTGAAAATAATTTTTTACATTTTTTCATTTTCCGAAAATTTATGACAAAAAAAAAATACAACTTCAAAAAACTCACCATTCCTCTTATGAAGTACGTCAGACTGTCTACTTTGCAAAAATGGGTCATTTGGGGATATCTGTACTATTCTGACATTTGGGGGATATCTGTACCGTCCTGACATTTGGGGGATATTCTGACATTCTTGGACCTCAAGAAATTAGATTGGCTGTCAGTACTTCAGGATTGATCAATTTTCAGATCTATACCATAGTTTGTGAACTCTATAACTTTCCTACAAACTAAAAAATACATCCTAATTTGGGTTATTTTCACCAAAGACATGTAGCAGAATACATCTCGGCCTAAATTTATGAATAACAATTATTTATTTGTAAACTTTTATAACAGAAACAAAGAAAAACGTGTTTTTTTTTTTTTCAAAATTTTTGGTCTTTTTTTGTTAATTTAGCAAAAAATAAAAAACCCCAGCGGTGATTAAATACCACCAAAAAAAAAAGCTCTAGTTGTGTGAGGAAAATGATAAAGTTTTAGTTTGGGTACAATGTTGTATGACCGCGCAATTGTCATTCAAAGTGTGAGAGCGCTGAAACCTGAAAAATGGCCTGGGCAGGAAGGTGTAAAATTGACCGGTATTGAAATGGTTAATTTTATAAATGTTGGCGAAATTGAATTTGTGATTTCTTGGCATCCATCCATCAGACTCATGTAGCTCACATAACAATGCATGGCTTGCTTTGCTATTTATTAATTTTACTTTGTTGTGAAGTAGATGTATGATATATTAGCCAATGTTCTTGCATTTACCTTTCCTCAAATTCAGACTGTGATCATATTATTTTCAGATATATTTATAGTACAAGGACAAATCTGCATGCCTTCTTTCGCTGCATGTTTGGCTTCAACAGGTGCACATGAAAAATGCATGAAGGAAGAATTAAAAAGCATTTAGAAAAGCAGTCCTTGGATTCAGTGTGTGGATCCACATACAATATATTGCCAAAAGTATTGGCCCCGCCCTCCAAATCATTGGATTCAGGTTTTCCAATCACCTCCATGGCCACAGGTGTATACAATCAAGCACCTAGGCATGCAGACTGCTTCTACAACCATTTGTGAAAGAATGGGTCGCTCTCAGGAGCTCAGTGACTCCAAGCATGGTCCAGTGATAGGTGGTCACCTGTGCAATAGGTCCATCCGTGACATTTCCTGGCTACTAAATATTCCACGCTCAACTGTTAGTGGGATTATAACAAAGTGGAAGCAACTGGGAGCAACAGTAACTCAGCCACCAAGTGGTAGGCCACATAAAATCAGTGCATGCTGAAGCGCACAGTGTGTAGAAGTTGCCAACTGTCTGCAGTCAGTAGTTAAAGACCTCCAAACTTGGTGTGGCCTTCAGATTAGCACAACAGTGCGTAGAGAGCTTCACGGAATGGGTTTCCATGGCCAAGCAGCTGCATCCAAGCCTTACATCACCAAGTGCAATGCAAAGCGTTGGATGCAGTGAAGGGAACTCTTAAGGCATCAGCATACCAAGACATTTTGGACAATTTCATGCTCCCAACTTTGTGGGAAGAGTTTGGGGATGGCTCCTTCCTGTTCCAACGTGACTGCCCACCAGTGCACAACGCAAGGTCCATAAAGACATGGATGAGCGAGTTTGGGGTGGAGGAACTTGACTGACCTGCACAGAGTCCTGACCTCAACCCCATAGAACACCTTTGAGATGAATTAGAGTGGAGACTGTGAACCCGGCCTCCTCCTCCGACATCAGTGCCTGAACTCACAAATGCACTTCTGGAAGAATGGTCAAACCTTCCCATAGACACCCTCCTAAACCTTGTGGACAGCCTTCCCTGAAGAGTTGAAGCTGTTATAGCTGCAAAGGGCGGGGCCAACTCAATATTGAACCCTACGGACTAAGACTGGGATGCCATTAAAGTTCATGTGCGTGGAAAGGCAGGCCGACCAATACTTTTGGCAATATAGTGTACATATTTACATGCGCTTGTGATGCATTTACAGTGCCTTTGCATCACATTTGTGGTGCGGTTTTTAGGCATCTTTTGTTTTTTTACTTAGTTGCAATTACATGAATTTATGTGCAAAAAAAGGTATGTTGTACATTTTTTAAAAAAAACTCACTTGAAAGCGTAACAATGGTGTGTAGACTATGCTCACTGAAATACTTTCATTTTTCCTGCATATGCATCATACTGCATTAAAAAATGCATTTGACTGCATCTTGTGTAAATGAATCTTATTAGCACCTGAGCGATTTGAAGCAGATTTAGTAAGTGCTTAAATGCTCAACATCAAGATTCCCATTATATTCATCATGAAGCTTGTCACTCAAAACTCCAAAAATGACATGAGCTTCTTCGGTGCAGTCATGTACTTTCGGTCCTCTGACAGTGCAAGGCCAAGCCACTGTGTAAATGCAGGAGAAAATAACACAGATTTGAATTAAATTGGTACTAAAGGCTGACGTTTTTTACTTCTGTATCCAGCTCCCACCCTTAGCCCCCCCCTTATAGTTACCAGAGCCTCATGGCGATCGAGTGCTGAACATGAGAGCGGCGGCTCTCTCTGCTCTGTCCCTCCCCACAGGCAGATCCATCACAGAGATTGGCTCCTGCTGCTGTCAATCAAACTCTGTGAAGATGGAGCAAGGGGGTGGGGCCATGCTTCACTATCTATGAACACAGACCACAGGGCTCAGGAGCAAGCCCACACAAGTGCCCCCATAGGAAATGGCTTCCTATGGGGGCACTGGATGAAGAGGAGGAACCAGGAACATCGGCGGGGGCACAGAGCAGGTAAGTATCACATTTGTTATTTTTGTAAAAAAAAAAAAAATTACCTTTAGAAACACTTTAGGCTTACTGCAAGGTTCCAGACTATCGTTTTTAAGCAGAGAAAGCTGTGTTTTTGGCTTTATCTAGATTCTGTAAACCTGGTTCAGGGCCTGGAGTTTGAAGGTTACAAAGTGTCTTGGGTGGGATGGAACCATCAATCCTGTGTCCCAATTTTACTGGATGCTGGCAGCCTGGTGAGAGGAGCCCCAGCCAGGAGTCAAGAGACAGGAGGTCTCAACCAGGGGTCAGAGGTGCCCCAGCCAGGAGGTTTCATCCTAAGAGTCAGGTCAGCTCCTATTAGGGTAGGGTGTAAGGAGAACCCGTATGCAGAGGCCAAGAGTGGGACACGCACCAGGGCACTGTGGCTAAAGGCTAAGAGGGCCAAGTGAACCAGGAGAGTTGGGCAACACAGTCAGAGGGACTAGTAAGAATAGCAGCAGATAGCCAACATTTTCAGTTGACTATTCTTGTTGATGTGGAAGAACCCCTGCGTGGGTAACTGATGTTTATGTGAACTTTCCATTTTGTTCAATAAAAATGGGTTGCCATGCCCTAAAATACAGTTTGGACTGGTGCAACTCATTGGGAAAAAAGCACCTACCACATGAGTATAATCAACGCAAAACCACAGTCCTTATAGACTTCAAAGGGAGCACCTAAATATATGAGTAACACTTTTTTTGTGCAATTTCTTTTTGTTCCTTCTAGGAACTAGCTTTCTATTGACTAAAATAAAAAATTCTCAAACCTGGAAATGCCCAAAAAATGCGCATAAGCCGAAAAAAAAACCCCCAAAAAAAAACAAACAAACTGAAAATTGCCTAAAAATGCTCATGCTGAATGTGAATGGGGACACAAAAAACAGACACATAAGTGTGAATCCATAGTTACAGTACAAATGCTACAACTGCTTATTTGTAGAACTGAATATTTTGTATAGTATTGTCAGGTTGGGGTTGAAGTCATTTCTGCTGACAGTGAACCTTGCTGCATGCAGAGATGTCTAGAGTCGGAGAACAGGCAGAGAGGTTCTTCTGCAGCATGGACTCACCTTATAAATTATTCAGACACTGAGTGCATTATGCTTCTCTTGTTCTCTAGCTGAGGCGGACAGAAATGGCAGGGAACTAGATGGAAGAGTGTGCAGGATGTGCGGCGCCTTTCAGTCACTTGTGCCTTAGTGGAATCACTTCTAGTTGTACAGACTTTGTCCTGTAGACCCTGGTGGACTCCAGTAGACCCTGGTGAACTCCAGTAGACCCCACTCATCTTCTACCTAGGCTTCAGTAAAGGTTCTTGTGTATTTTCATATTCTGTATATTTTTAGGTAACTGGGTCAACAAACTGGAGTGAAGTTGTGCCAAAAATAGCCGGGAAGCTGAAGAAATAGAAACCTATAGGAATAGAGGTGACCTTCAGTTTTGTATTTTCTGTTTACATGGATCTCATTACGATGGTCACCTTGTGCTAACCAATCTATCATCCCAACACATGCTTGTTTTATTGCTTCATCTAAAATCAGCCTTCTGAATAAGACGGGGGTGGATCAAGCCTTGATCACATCCTTAGCATACGCAGCAAAAGAAAAAAAAAAAGATGGAATTGGATTTGGATTGAATGGAAAGACAACTGGGCTGCAAGAGGGTATGGAGTTTATATATTTTGGTCACACCCACACTATTGCCAATTATCTTGATAGTCAGCTGTCCCATAACAGAGATGGACATCTTGATGCTTTAAAGCAGCCATTCTCAACCGGGGTCCAAGGAACCCTAAGGTTCCTCCAGAGGTTGCTAGGGGTTCCTTAAGATGTAGCTGACCTCCCACTTGATGGTGTGTAGCACCTTCTAGTGTACAGATGGATAGGTAAATGTATTCTGACTCACAGTACTCATGTGAGTGCGGGTGATTGTTGTTCAGCTTGAGGTCAGGCTGTAAGGCTCTGCAGACCAGGCCTCTATCGCCTCCCTCTGGTTCTGGAGGTCCATGGCAACTTCTAGAAACTAGTGGGCAGAGGTGCAAAGGCAAAGATCTGAATATCAGGAGGCCTGGTGGGATGGTAGGATGGGCCCATAAATATTGAGGAGCCTGTTCAGTGTGTAATGTGTGGTTGGGTGGAAGATGGAGTACTGAGGGTCACGAGGTCTGGGAGGGGACCCTGGTGAAGGATGGTTCTGTCTCTAGGCTGGAGCTGTGGAAGAAGCTGGAGGGAGGTATCTTTTCTACCCTACAGTCTTATCCAGAAGACACCCTGACTAACACAGCAGAAGGCCTGAAGAGCACTCTTATCCAAAGCAGCCGTATACAATGGACAGTGTGAATACCTCTACACCCCTAGGGCATACAAGGGAGAAGGCTGCCAGATGGAATATCCAGCATGCTTTCATTGGGACAGTGTCACAGCTAACCTAATTCCTTTGCAATGGGACACTTTACAAGGCAGCCAGGTAGGCTTGTACTTTCTGCAAGTACTGGGAATTTTTGTGAGTTTCATCCAGGGTACATAGAGCTCCTAGAAGAGGAACAACAGAAACAAGCCCATGGAGTGATTACTGACTCCATGAGGAAGTTGGAAAAATGCATGTTGCTTGGCTGTGCAGAGATAAAGGGGGACCCATCCAGTGGCTCCTTAGGGGGTAGCGCTACAGCTGCATGCAAAGTTCTATGGCCGATGCCATTTGGAAGAGCAAGAAGTATGATATCAATGGGACCAAAAGTCCCATCATATCTCTGCCCTTTGGGAGTTATGCTTGTAACTGACAGCCTTGCAATGCCTCATGGGACATCTAGTTCCACAACAGCAGGAGGGTTGCAGTTGCCCTCCCCTGATTTATAGGGTTAGTCTAACCAAAAGTCAAATTTTTCTGTACGTTATACATATACTGTATGTTTATCCTAGTGGGCTGAGTCAGCCTTTGGCCTTTTTGTATGTCTCTGACAATTCAACAGCGAGATCTCCCTGTCTTGGCCAGGCCAATGACTAGGCAGAAGAGATGGGAATCTTGAGCACTTTATCAAACAGGAACAAAAAGTACTGGACCACCAACCTATAATGCTAGTGTATTTATTCACCATGCTCATATGCAAGCCCCCTAAGACTCCATTTCCCATAAATCCAATAAATCCAATGTTCTTGGATACAAGCAGGGAATATACGTCCACTTCCAGAACTGTCCCACTTGCCCATACGTGTGTGCAAGTGCATGCTGGGCCAGCGGTTACGCACCTATGACATTTTCTATAATGTAGTCCTGTAGGCTAAAATATACTGCAGACTGTGGCTCCCAGAAACCGCAACAACAGACATATACCCACTGTATGCCCATACATTTAACTTTACAGACGTGTGCAATAGGTCATACAAAGACAGGGAAGACTGTCCCTTACATTGGTGGTCAGTGGGAGGAATTCTCCTTACATTGGTGATAGTCAATGAGAAGAATGATCCTTACATTGGTGATGGTCAATGGGAAGAATGTTCTTTACATTTGTGGTCAATGGGACAAATGCTCCTTACATTGGTGATAGTCAATGGAAAGAATGTTCCTTAATTGGTGATGGTCAATGGGAAGAATGTTCCTTACATTTGTGGTCAGTAGGACGAATGCACCTTACATTGGTGGTCAGTGGGAAGATTGATCCCTACATTGGTGATCAATGAGAAAAATACTCCTTACATTGGTGATAGTCAATAAGAAG